ACAGAATTCAAAAAATTCACACCCTCTCACGGCTGTTGTTTACTTTTGCACTGGAATGCAGATCGAATGTGATTGTCGTTATTCCCAACCTCATTAAAAGCGAGGCACGGCTTTAGCATAAACATCGCGACCGAGAAGTGCAGGGCTCTGAACTCGCTCAATGCCCGATTATAAACAAAGCTTGAGACCAAAATCCAAAGACAAATAAACCACAATGGCCAATAATAAACTGGGAATAAGTGGGAGTCATCGCAGGACTGGATGTGGACTTCGACTTTGACTTGGATGTGTGGATTCGAGGAGGCCAAGCTACGGGGCAATAACAAACAGCACTAAAATTGACATTGAACAAACAGGGATTATTACTCGGAATGCTCAAGGAGCCGAAAGACAGACGATATTCAAAACTAAATTGAGCACATGCTGCGCCACTTCACAGACCCGGCCGGCCTCCCCACTCGAGTGTCGAGTCTCGAGTCCATTTTTGGATTCGTTGGCAGTCGGAAAATCCCAGAGCTGCGGCTGCTGCGTGTCCTGCATGACCTGTCCATGAGTAAGGCGAGACAGCATGTCTGTCAGAGCCTGCCTGCGTCTGCAACTCGAACGGGATTGAGACTGGGTGCCAGGAGGCTGGCACCGGAGATGGACTCGTGTTGACACAGATCGGCACACCAGGCACAAAATTATTGGGTAGAGCTACACGGCAAGAAAAGCATTTCATTAACTTATAAATTAATCTTTAATATCCCTAATACCTCATTTTATTTTTAGGTAAACTATAGGATTACTTCTATCCATTCCATAAATTTTGTTTAACTTTTTAGGTACTCCTCATTTATTAATAATCTCATTCAAACTATTCCTATAACTCGTATCAGTTACACGCTGATTATTATTCCCTGTACATCCTTCAATTTTAAATTATAATCAGAAAATACCGCACTCATTTTCCGAGTGTACTTGAGCTGCAGCGAGTCGAGAGCGAAATCTAAACATCTGCAAAATTACGCGCATAAATCCTTTAACACTTTTCCTTCGTCCTGGACACTAGACAAGCCATGGGGTTGGGGTTGCATTTGCCACGCGGGGCATCGTCAAATTAGCCCACTTTAGGATCGGCCCTGCTGCGAGGCCTCGGCTCTCCCTCCTCTGGACTACTCTCATGCCTCGTAGCGGGTGCAGTGCAGCATTCCTCAAACCCATTGTTTACGCACGTCATATTTCGTGGGCGGAGGAAGCGACAAGGTACACAGGAGGAAATTCTAGAGATTCTAGAGATTTTATTATATCTTATATATTTTTATACCTTTTTTCAAATCAGTTTTCATAAGGTTTTACATATTATCTTTTCATAATTAAATATTAAATGTTAATGGCATTTTTAAAATAAAACAAAATGTATTTAAAATATTTATTTATTTTATTTATTTTCTGTTTCTTTTTTTCCATTTCTATTTCGATATTTTTAGAATTTTTCTAGTGTTTAAGGAACGCGTGTTGCGTTGACAGTTTGTTGCTGCCTCCTCCTCCGTTCCTGCAGCTGCAGCAGTGTCCTTCGTGTGGTGCGGTGCCAGTACGCCTTAGATCCTACTGAATCTAAGACCGATTGCCGATCGCCTAGCCTTGTTGTTCGGCTGCCAAAACAAACAATGACACCTCCGCTCGCTCCATCCGGGCGTCTTCTACTTGACTGGCCGTCAATACACAAGGCTCGAGGCATAGAGTTAGAGTAAATGTTTCCACCTAATGACCCCTATCCCAGCGCCAGGATGGTGGTCCTGGTACCAAGGCATATTTTCAAGCCGTCTTCGTCGGCTCCTTGGTCTAGGTTTCTTTCTTGCCACTTACCACATGCCACTTACCACTTTCCAATGCCAATGTCTGTGCTTCATGCCTCCTTAGAGCTCATCATGCTCAAATGGTAATTGAAGGGCCATAGAAAAACTATTTATCCTGGGGCTGCCGAGCGTGCTCGTGTTGTTGCTGTTGTGGTTATTCAATATTACTTCGTCCTCGTCCATTGACAGGGGGTGAAAGGGAGGAGCAGCGGGAACGGAGACAATGGATGCATTGAACCCAAACCCGAATCGGAATCACAATCTGAATGGCATACGAAGAGAGAGCGCAGCTACCCTTTGCCGTTTGTTTTCCTTTTCTCCTCCGGTGTTTTATTAAATTTGTTTCCAGTGACCCGGCCTCATCCTGTCTGCCTGCCTGCCAGCCAGCCAGCCAGCCCTTTCTGGTTCCTGTTTTGCCAACGAGTTTTATGACAATTTCCACTTTTTGCCATTGTCAATGTGATTTTATTACCGCTCTCTCTCTCGGGGTTTTGTATGCCGAACTTATCGACTGTGTGATGTTGTCATCATTATGCCGATTACTGGATCGGTTTTCGGTCTTCTGTCAAGGTTAATTGAATTTTCGCTTTTGTGCGGTTTACTGTTGCTATCTGGCCGATATGGCCGGAAAATAACTACCTATCTTTATGGGGCCTGTAAACCATAATTTCGCCACAGCAGTGGCCAGGACACTAGGGCCTCCTCCCTCCATTAACCTTATCGCTAGGGTCCACGGCGAAGGATTAATTATGCACGCGCCTCCGAATCGCTGTCGATTGCCCTCATAAAGTCATATTGCGGAGGTGGACTTTGGCCGGAAAAGTAGTAGGTGGATGACGGCCGTTAAATGGCCATAAAGCTTTTATTTGTTTAGCGATGGACAGAGTTTATATCTTTGACATTTCTTTTATCAAGAGGTTTGGAGTGGACTAAATTTAATATCATAAAATATAGTAAATAAATTATACAATAAAAACTAAAGCAAAAATGTTTAAAGAATCAAATACATTTAGTCTATGTCCTCTGAGACCCGTAGAAATGCTTCCTAAAACTTCTAATAATTGTTTTAAATTCTGCGCACACTTGGCACCGACTTTGTTGTGTGTGTGTGGAGCAAAAAACATTCACTTCGGATTGGAATTGGGGAAAATTTCGTGCAGCAGATACTTTCCGCTGCTTTGTTATAATTCCACAGCACAAATGTTCCGGCTTCGGTGGCCTTTGTGCCAGTCGGAATCGGTGAATAAAGTTTTCAAAGTTGCACAAACTGCCAGCAACAACAAAAATCTTGGGAGGTAAAGTGAGCAGCAGCGGAAAAATACGGGAAAAGCCAAGCACGCTATGCCAATTCCTGGTACAAGTGCTGCTCGATGCCAACAAGTTCGCCGAATATTCCCACTTGGCGGAGGCTCCTCGGGAGCCCAGGTATCCAGAGCCTGAGCCTGGTGCCGTGGAACATATCCCTGTTCCCACCGCTTAGCTCAGCTGGCCCAGAAGTTTCCCGCTGAGCCAAAGCCTGGTCTTAAGCCAGTTGGGCGGAGGAAAAGCGGCAAGGAAATCCAGCTTCGCTTCGGCTTGAGAAGTAGCGCCAAACTTTTGTGCACGGCCCCATGTTTGGTTTGTCTTTCCAGCTTCCGCTTTTCATCTTACCGCTCCGCTTTTCTTTCGTCCTTTATTTTCTTCCTTTGGAATGTGTGTGTGTGTGTATGAGTGTGAGTTTATGTGGGCGTATAGTTCCACCATATAGTTGGCTCTGTGGACCCCCGACTTTTCGGACCGTCGGAAATGGGGTTTTGGCCTCGTTGCTTGTCAGTCGTAGCAGTTTGGCTTCCTCAATGGCCCATACAGGGTGACATTCTTGGGCATTAAAAACTAAAAACAAATCCTGTTAAATACTTTAAAGATTAATGTTGTGAAATTTAAAGACTTGCTGAAATTGAATTAAGTCTTTATATAATTTCCTAGAAACATTAAGCCAATAATTTAATGCAATCTGCTAAGGCTTAAGTATTATACTAATTTTAAATTGCTTGACTTTTGAATATTAAAAGCGAAAATATAATTAATAAAATATTAGAAATGTATATTAAATTGTAACTATTTTAATAATTATTTTATTTATTTATAAAATATATAAAAATAATGAATTAAGCATAATAAAAGCTTGAATTTAGATGGGATTTATAATAAGATTTAAAACGATTTATTTTACAGCCTTTTTCATACATTAAAGCTTTACTTACTTGATCTCTAATTTGATTTTTGTATACATTTTTTCCCATGTGAATTAAATTTGTTCCAGATCCTGGGAAACACCCTTTGTCCGCTTGTTTATCGCCAACTTTTTGCACCCGCAAAAAGTAAAGTGCAAGTGCAAAAAAGCGCAAAAGAAGACAAGGCCATCGTTTTTCTTCAGCTCTGTTTTTGTTGTTGTTGCTGCTGCTGCTGGTGCTGTCGATTCTGTCGATTTTGTTTTTCCCATTGTTTTTGTTTTTGCTTTTGTTTGGGTTGGCATTCTGGTCCAGTCGTGCCACTCAAAGCACGACTCGAGGATATTGTCGCCGCCAAAGTTGCCGCGAGTGCAAGTGCAAGTATGTCTTTGTGCCCCAGCAACAACACCAGCAACACGCCCCTTTATGACCAACTTGGTCTCGAATTAAAGCCAAGACATCAGGGAAAACACAAACAGAAAAAACATATATTTCCCCTGCGAGCATGCGCATTGCGGAAAAATGGTCGCCGGGGAAGGCCACAGCCAATCGCCAGGCAGCTGAGGTGTGGCCTCCGCTGGCAAAGGGAAATCCGCTCTCGCAGAATTTCCCTCGCTGCTAATAATCACTTGAGACATGCGCGCTCTGGCCGGCCGAGAGAGCGGGGGTTGCTCAGGGGGGCGCATGCAACCCTTGCACCGGGACCGGGGTCCCACCCCTGGCCATGCCCGTCACGTGCAGCAGGAGCGGCACCGCGGCAGTTGTTGCTCCGTTGCTTTTGTAAACAGGCGCAGGCGCACTAGGGGTGTGTGTGTGCGAGTGTATATTTGCGAGTGTGCGGGGGTATATTTCAGCTGGGATTTTTTTTTTTTTTGGTCCCAAAGCCAAAGCCAAGGCAAAGTGAAATGCTTTGATTTCGCTGATTGTTCGATCACACGCCAACTGACAGCGAACGCGGCTGGTTGTCCTCGGATGAAAGCGAAGAATCCTCAAACTCTGAATCAAAAAACACCCAAAGACTCGACTCGTTTTTCGTGAGTGTCGCGTGTGCTGAGCATAGAAACTGACATAGAAAAATAGAGTGCTGCCAAGTGTATAAGATGCTGGAGTTCTACCCAATGCCCACGAATCTGAATCCAGTCGGTGGCGGCTTGTACTCGCTCCAGCAGAACCATGGCGGTGCCCGTTTCCTGGACAATCCCAGCCACGCTGGCGGTGGCAATACCTTGCACCTGGCCAATAGCAATAGCAATGGCAACAGCAATTTACCCACGAGCATTTCCGGCAACAACAGTCCCACAATGGCAACGGCTTCATTAACGGGGCAGCTACATCACACAGCTTCGACCACGCCAGTGCCAATTAACAGCTGCCCCACGCCCACAGGACACAGTCCAGGACACAGCCCCCTCAGCAGCAACAACAATAACAACAACAACAGCAACCTCAACTCCGCCTGCAACTCATTAACAGCTGCTGCTGTTGCTGCTGCTGCTGCGGCCGCTGCTGCTGCTGCTGCTGGCTCTGGGGCAGCTGCTGGCTCAGTTGGGGCAGCTCCATCGTCGGCAACAGCTCCCTCAGTCGCCACCTCGCAATTAGGCGGAGCAGTTGCGGCCACACCGGCTCCAGTGGCAACAGGAAGCGGAAATGGCAATGGAAATGGAAATGGAGGCAGAAACGGATGCGGAGCTGCTGCAGCAACGGCCAACGCAGCAGCAGCATCGAAATTGTCTGCCGATTGCAGTGGACGCACAGGTATGTTCCAAAAGTATTTTTCACCGGCAGTCGAGGCATTTACCGGCTCGTTTCGTCTCTGGGGTTTTCACGCTTTTCGTTTTTGGCATAGTTGCGTGTGCCCGGCCTGCGGCCCGGAGTCCCAATAAGCTTTTCCTCCTCCGTTGTCTGTCCAGGTGGGCAATACTTTGGGGCTAAAGTTTTCCGGACAAGGGCTCCCCAACAACAGCAGCTTACGTGTGATTTTCTTGGTCTTTTGGGGCGCTGACGGAATGCTTATTTCTCGGGAAATATGTGTTTCGTTGATTTTGTTTAAAGAATAATTTTTAATGCATTGTGATTTAAACTGTTTTATTTTTTAGATTGCAAATAGGTCTTCTTGCTTGCTAACTTAAAGAACATTTTTAATTGCCTTTATTTATTTTTTAAGAAAAGGTTAGAGTGTTTATTTTTCGGTTTTTTTATATTGTTAGTTTTGTTTTCGAAAAATCGGAAATCGTTGGTCTTTTTTATAGAAATTATTTTAATGCTGAATTTTATTGAATTTGTTCGTAATTTGATTTTATTTTCATATGAAATCTTTAATATGTTATTTAAACTAATATAATTAAAACTCAAATCTATTATTTTGGTTTCAAGTTTGAAGAAGATCATAAATGTAGTATGCATTTTGTTTTAATTTTAGAATTCATTAAAAACTTAAGATTGAAAAATAATACTGCATCAGTTGGTTCATACATTAAAATTACTTTTTTTTAACATAACTTCTATTTGCTTTAATAAATTTTAAGTTGTTTTATAGCATTTCAATCTCAGCTAAATAAACAATTATTTGCAATTTTTTTAAAAATGCCTAAAGTAAAATCAATTTATTTTCGACTACAAGTCCTTTGTAACACAGCCTTTTTTAATGCAAAAGTTAATAACGAATACGCATCGTATTATTTCCTTATTTAAATAGAGCCAATGTTTGCTTTGGCACTTGATTGATGCCATAAAGCAGCAGAGCAATGTTTTTCGAAATTAATAACCAGAGAAAGATTTACAAAACAAACCGGCAATGTTTTCAATTTGTTTGCCGCTCTTTGAGGCCAGGCAAATAAAATCAAATAAAGCCGGGCAAATATGAATTTCGGGCTTAAACGAATATTGACAGTGTCGGGCAAACAAATTATGAATATCTGATACTGTTTTTGGAATAGTTTTGCGGGCTGCGTGCGGATGTGTGTGTGCGACAGCCCGGCCAAAAGTATTTCCAGAAGTATGAACGCAAGTTGACCACAAAATAATTTTGACAATGAACCTGGCTGACATCCCCAGGGGGCGTGGCTTGGCCAATAAAAGGCTATTAAGGCAGGCCACATCCTGGCACTCACACGCCCCCTCACTTGCGTTGGCATCCAGGCTAACACACACACACTAGCGCACACATACGCACGAGAGCCTCAAAATAGGCAACACTTTTCAGCCGAGCTGCACCGAAAGTGTTGTTGGGAAAACTTTTGCAAATTTCCCTCCGAAATGCCAAGTGTGCAAACAATGTGTGATGCGATGCATATGCATATGCGGACCAGACATCGTCCGAGGCTAAGTGGATTGTGTTTTGGCTTTTTTACCCGGGTCTAGGGGCTCTCAGCTCCACCAATTGCTCTTTTTGCCTATCAAATTTCTATTAATGCCTGCATTCTGCCATTTGCCATTTGCCGAAATGGCAGCAAATAGTTTCCGTTTCCGCCTCCGTGAACCCAACTCCTAAGCTACTATCAGCTATCAGTGGCCCACACTTTGGCTTCAACTATAAAGCCCAGAGAGGTCGAGGAATTTCCGAACGGGCGAGGTCGGTCTGGTGATTGGGGGTGGGGGGCCAAGAGCCTGGGGAGTGGAGAGACTGGAGGGCAGACCACGGAAATGAGCACACTCAGTGTCAGGTATTCCACCGAGCGTATCAGCATACATATCTGGCTTCTGCGGTGGCTTCAACTTTGCCCATCTGCAGGTATTCCAGGTGCCACTGCCTGTGTGCGAGTATGCGGCGGAAGTATGCGCCATATGCATAGCTCTATGTCACTTTGGCGCTGAGATCCAGGTGCACAAAGAGAAAATTTTAAGGGGTAAATGATGGACAACTAAGAACTGCGGGAGAAAATTAAATAAATTAAGTATATTCGCAAATAGATTTGTATTTCTGTATTGTTTTCATATTTTTGTTTTAGTTTAACTAGGATTTCTTTTAGCTTTCTAAAATAAATCCATATGAGAATTCTTTATATTGAAACGATTATAGAATATTTTAGAAGAGTATAAAATATCTGAAAAAGGTTCAATATTCATGAAATTAAGAGTTTCAATCCTCTCACCAAATATTAATTATCTTCAAAGGGATTTTCGCTAATCCTTAAAAACAAATATCTGTGTTTGAAATTATATTTCATATTAAATACAAAAAAAAACTATTTTTATTATGAGAAATAAATATTCAAATTTTCTTCCCTGTATTTATATCACCTCCAAGTTTTAAAGGCCGCGTTGTCAGTCGTAATTAAAGCTGTCCCATTATGAGCTGTCTGTCAAAAGGGGCAAACTGCTGCCAAAATCCGCGTGGCACGTGGACCGTACCCGGACTCCTGTTGGCAGTTAGCCCGAATTAATGCCGGGAGTTGGAGCTCGGCTGTCTGTGCCGTCTCCCGATTTATCTCCATAGCCCTCCGCCTGCCTGTCAATGTGTCAATAAATGCACCATATAGTGGGGCAATCGAGGGGCCACAGATAAGCCCCTTTATCACCGATAAGGCCGAGGACACTTTCGACGCTGTCGTCTATTAGGTGGGCTCTATATATTTTTCTGTGTTTATCGTCGAGTTGATTTTGGAATTATCTGCTGTTTAATCTATGTATTTGACATGAGTGTGTCGCACTTGTTCAAACTGTTTGCGCCCGATGTTTGTTGATTTTCTCGACAAGATTTGCGCCAGGATTGTATAGAGGTTCTTCCCGAAAAAACGAGTGGCACTCACCGTCCTTTGATAGCTGAAACAATGCAGAAACGCCGCAAAAACAAAAGGCACACACTCAGAGCAGACAAAAAAAGCATTCATAAAACTGCAGCGAAATGCCATAAATTTCGATTAGATTACACAAACGAAAGCCGTCACAATATCGATGTTCAAAGCTTAAAAAAAAAGCGGCCAAATTCAAAACGCTGCTGCCTCCGGGGGCTTTATCGAATGAATCATGCTCGATTTTTGTTTCGTTGCTAGAAAAATGCGATTGGACACGGATACACTGCACAATGGGAGGATAGGCAAGGATGCGATGGTATAGGAGGCCAGAAAAAATGCCCGAGGACAATGTCAACTTTTCGCTGCACTGCCTTATATCCCTGTTGGCCATATCCGTGCTATATACCACACGCACATCTGCATAGATATGGCGGCTATGGCAGCACCATTGTGCCAACCATAAATCATGCACATTTTTCTGCCACTGAGCCACAGCCATATAATATAACACTCCACTCCACCGCCACTGCCACTGCCTTTCCCCCTTTTCCCTTTCCCATTTCCCTCCGCTTTCCACTTTCCCCGACTGGCTGCTCATTTTTCAAATGCTTCCATACATTTTTCGTGGCGGTCGTCATATATTTTTTATGTTTACTGCTCTGCCAGGCAGCTTTTGTTGTGTTTTCGGGTACTACTTTTTATGACTGGTTTACAGTTTCAAGAGCGCCTCTACGGAGGGAGGATTAGTTGATGCCTCCTCCTCCTTTTTGGGAGAAAACGAGTCCAACTAATGGTGTATCCTTAGCAGGAGTTTAAACTCAGTGGCGCAGTCAAAAATCAATTGAGCCATTGTCGCTGGATATAGATATAAGCATAAAAAGGTGAGCGGGGCAGATGCTTTCCGCTGATATCGAACAAATACAGAAAACTTTACGTTTCAATTACGCATCAACAAGCTTTCAATACAAGCTGTTGCAGCCCGGCGACAGATAATTTTTTCCCTCAACAGTTTCTTTCTGATTTTCCCCCCCCCAAAACGGCGAAACATCGAGCGGAAAAACGGCAAAGACGTTCAAGCATTTTCACACGATTCGATTGTCAGCGAGGTCCTGGCGCCATCGGCAGCACATGTCATGATAATTTCAGAGCGACATGTGCTGCCAGCACGTATACGCCACGTACGCCCATCACTGGCTAGCAAAGGGGGAAGGGAACAGCGCGTAAAAGAAGTCTGAACAGCAGGGAAAACCTTTATAAAATAACTACAATAAAGCTGGCAAAGCTTAAAGTCTATGAATATTTTGTAATATTTTTTAATTAGTAATTTAAGGATTTTTTTTTTTAAATATATCCCTTTTAGAGGGATATTTTCCATTCCTTTAGAGACTTACCATCATTCTTTTCTGTCATTTTCAGAAGTGGGCCACATCAAGTGCGAGAAAAACTTCGAGCTGTGCGAAGGCTGCGGCCAGAAGATCCACGACCGCTTCCTGATGAACGTGGGCGAGGCCAACTGGCATGAGCAGTGCCTGGCCTGCTGCTACTGCGGCATGCAGCTCCACCACACCTGCTATGTGCGCAACTCGAAGCTCTACTGCAAGATGGACTACGATCGGCTGTTTGGCGTCAAGTGCGCCTCCTGCTGCCACGCCATCCTGCCCCAGGAGCTGGTGATGCGTCCGATTCCCAACTTTGTCTTCCACCTGCCCTGCTTCGTGTGTTATGCCTGCCGCCTGCCTCTGCAGAAGGGCGAGCAGTTCCTGCTGCGTGACGGCCAGCTCTTCTGCTATCGCCATGACCTCGAGAAGGAGATGTTCCTGGCGGCGGCAGCGGCCCAGCACTGCGGCTTTGTTGGCCTGGACGAGGAGGATCTGCTGAGGCCTCGCGATGGACGGCGGGGTCCCAAGCGGCCGCGCACTATCCTCACCTCGCAGCAGCGCAAACAGTTCAAGGCCTCCTTTGACCAGTCGCCCAAGCCCTGCCGCAAGGTGCGCGAGGCTCTGGCCAAGGACACGGGGCTGTCGGTGCGCGTGGTGCAGGTGTGGTTCCAAAATCAACGGGCCAAGATGAAGAAGATCCAGCGCAAGGCCAAGCAGAATGGTGGCTCCTCCGGCGGCGGCTCTGGCGGCCGTGGCACTGGCAACTCCAGTGCCACCGATGACAAGGAATCAACCGACAAGGAGGACAAGTGCGTCAAACAGGAACTGGGCGGCGACAGCTCGGGATATTTGGGGGGATTGGACAGCAACTTTGCCAGCCAGCCGCTAAATCCCAACTTGCCCTTCTCACCGGATGGTAAGTGGAACCTACAACAAGACTTTTAGAACCTTTCTTAACTGATTTTCTCCTTGCAGATTATCCGGCCAACTCGAACGATAGCTTCTGCAGCTCAGATCTCTCGCTGGACGGGAGCAACTTTGACCAGCTGGACGATGACGCGGACTCGCTGTCGCTGAACAACCTGGAGCTGCAGTCCACCAGCTCCTCCGGCAACCAGCACTCGCACTCGCACTCGAATCCCCACGACATGCTGGCCAACCTGAACAACAGCCTGATCAATCCCATCGACAAGCTGTATCTCATGCAGAACTCGTACTTCAGCTCGGAGCACTAGGCGTGGCGCTGGGCGGGATTGGAGCAGACTTGGGTCGAGGAGTAGCGACGAATTTATTAGCGTTAGAGAAGCAGGCTCCGATCGGCAGCTGTCACTTTACGTAGCTCAGCGGCGGCGTGTCATTAAGTTGGATACACAAGATAGAAGATATAAGATACAAGATACAAGATACATGAAATGTGATTTTTTTAAGCTAATTGAAATTTTAAGATTCTTGGCAATTTGAGGGCGTGGCAAAACATTTTGTTGTTAGTCTAGACTCTAGAGAGGCAGAGAGCGTAGAATGACCAGTAACGCAGTCAATGTGCCCCTTTTGTTTGTAAATAGTTTTAATCCCCGAGAAAATTGTTATTAAATGTAATTTAAAGTCAATAATTGTATTAGCAAGTGCAATTTAATCTGTTCCCCCAAAAATATACATCTTAACCGAATCCACTTGATATATTCTGTCTGAAATGGTTTTGGAGCAACGAAAAGTAAGTAAAGTTTTTCGATAAAATGGGTAATTTATATGTTTATAAATCTAAAAGCGAAATATTTACAATTTTAGATTTTTAGATTTACACTTTACATCAACGGATCGTTTCTATGGCAGTTATGTTATATAGTGATCCGATTTTTATAGCCCTGCAGGGTATTATAATTTCAGTCAGAAGCTTGAAAAGCAGTGAAGGAGTCATTTCCCACCCTGCAAACCTTATATATTCTTGATCAGAATTAGCAGGAGAATCTTTCTAGACATGTCAGGAAGAAAAAAAAAATTTTCAATTTTTTCAAAATTTGATAAGGGGTTACATCGTTAAAAATCTCAAAAATTGAATAAATTTTGATTTCTTACATTTTAAAATTTTTTATGCAGATTTTTTAAGCTAGAATAAACTAGCATAGAAATGCTTTTTGAGTTGAAATTGTTGAATTTTTGGCGAAGTTGTGCATTTTTTAAGCAATGATATGTCCAAAAATTATCATATAAAAATATAGATAAATATTTATTTAAAGAATTAAAGTATTTCCGTATTTTTTGAAAGGTAATTTGAATTTAGTTACGCGCGGTCTGGTACTTTTGGTCGCTCATGAACTAAAAGTCTGGCATCGCTGGTCGCTCGTACAGTGCTGCCAGACTTTTCGTTCATGCGCCCCAGTGCTGCCCATGTTTTCGTTCATGAGCGAACAGTGCTGCCCATGTTTCCGTTTATGCAGCGATGCCAGACTTTTCGTTCAGCGTTTTCAGCGCTCTAGTGTGCCCAAAAGCCTCAAGTGCGGATTGAGATTTTTAAGGAAGAGAGACTACTTTTTATTTGGCCACACTGTTCAAAACTAACAATAACAATGGTAAGATTTCTGTTTTTTGGAGAAATTATAAGCCAATTACATATATTTTTGCCCTCTAAAGCTGTTCTATTCGTTCTTCAAGTCACTGGTGGGCAAAGAGGTAGTCGTGGAACTCAAGAACGACCTGAGGTAAGCAACGATTGTTAACCGCCTCGCAACGCGTGTTTTTGCCGGCAAACTTAAGATTCTGTTTTATATGTCCTTCTGTAGCATATGCGGCACCCTGCACTCGGTGGACCAGTATCTGAACATCAAACTAACGGACATTAGTGTCACGGATCCGGACAAATACCCGCACATGCTCAGCGTGAAGAACTGCTTCATCCGCGGCTCCGTGGTGCGGTATGTGCAGCTGCCGGGCGACGAGGTGGACACGCAGCTGTTGCAGGACGCCGCGCGGAAGGAGGCGGTGGTCAGCACGAGGTAGAGACCAGGTTTGCCGGCTCTAGCCACCCCAAAAAGTCTAAATCTTAAGTTAAATCTTGTTAAAGTGAAACAATAAGAGAAATCCCCGGAAGAAATGCATTTACATTTGATGATTAAGCAGTGAGTTTAATTGATATCTATGGTTTTTAAGGGACATTTCTAAATTAAAGATTTGTATAGAGGTATCACAAAACTAAACATTCTTTTCCTCAGCAGATTTAGGGTTTACTGGATAAAGTCTTCCTTAATAAGTTTAACTTAATTGAACCGAAGTTTAAACTGTGTTTTGTATTATCTTTGTTTAAAGTTGATGTACAAACTCAAGAGCTCGGAGTTAACAGCTTTAAGTCTTAAAACATTAATTTGTGCACATAAGTTTAGGTGTCACTTTCATAATGTTAATGGTTCGAATTCAGCTTCTAGATATCTCAAACTTAGTCTTCCCACTAAGAAACAGATCCTTTAAATTCCTGAAATGAAATAAGAGCTAAATCTACTAAATAAGATGAGAACATGACATGTTTCTTTCAAAACTTTGGCACAATAGAGGGGAAAAGCATATCAATGAATTTCTGTAGGACAAAAGCATATAAATAATATTTAGTCCTGTGCGAATGTGTTTTTCAAATGTTCTTTTTAGGAAATTATAGAGAAGTTAGTTATTAAGCAAACAATTAAGTGTTTGTGACTAATAAACCTTTGCAACTTGGAATCTAAGTCTTACATAGAGATGCGTTGGCAGCATTGTTGCTCAACATGCTGCTAGCCAGGAATGTCCTGGCAACATATTCTTATAAATTTCGCAAAATTTGGATTTTAAATATATGTTATCTAATAATTAATCCCACCAGGCAAAGTCTCTTCACAATCAAGCTTAGCCACCTAAAGTTTGCCTTAAAATTTCCTTTATTTATTTTCATAACTTTCAAACTTGAAGCTCAAGTATCTGTACCAAATTCAGGCACCACACATGCCACTTGATATTCCCTAATAGTTATTCTATGGATTTATGCAGTACAACAATAGACTATACTTCTAATGTGGTGGCTTCAATGCTAATGTTGCTGTTTTGATGTGTCAGGCGACTTTATCGCTCCACGCTTGAATGGATGTCTCGTGAAATGTAGGTCAGCGAATGAGCCAAGTTTGCGTCATGTTGATAATGGCCCCAGGAATTGGTCCATAAATTTGTATAATTGTTGTAACGATGTCTTGATGTCTTGTCTACACATCGGCCTAAGCCAGATACTTACACGGATGCGGAGCCTCCAGGATAGGATGTACTATATGTTATGTACATGTCTTCCGTTTTACGATTGCCGTTATTGCGCGGCCCTCGAATTCAACCTTTTATTCCCAATAAAACGGAGGAGCCTAACGGAATGCTTTTAATTTCTGGACCTCGACCCGCTCGTTAAGTGCCTTTTCGTCGTCCTCGGCCGCCGAATTGCTTTGTTGGTTGTGGAATGTGTACTTAAAATAAAATACGCATTCGTAGAAAATTTCAGTTCGGCATTTACATTTTGGAATGGACCGGTCCGCAGTCCGGACGCTGGCTCTAAACTTTGGCAGTTGGTCAGCAGAGCAACCTGAAGGAGAATCTAGCAATCAAAAGTTGAATGGAGCACTGAAAACAAATGCTGTTCAAGTATTGCAAGGCCGGAGACATTGAAAGAACCACTACCTTTAAATTTTCTATTTTACAGCTGGAAAATGTATAAAATGTCAAGGATTGATATATTTTATTTTTAATTTAATCAAACCTTTTAGTGATAATTTCCCATTTTATCATCAATTTAGGAGACTTATCTAAATATATATTAAAAAACCGCTTTTTAAATTTAAAAAAATATTGATTTTAAAAATGTTTTCCGTGTGGCAATGAGTTTTTTGCTCTTCTGACGGCGCATAATTGAACGGGGGGCAATCCAACCAGAGGATCGGGTCAGTCTCCGGCCCCACTGGAGTCCATCTTTCATTATCTGTGGTAATTGGGTTCCTGTTTCCGGCGCAGCTTTCAAATTCAGACTGCGTGGCGCATTTTCGGGCGCATTGTTCGCCGTTCGCAAATAATGTTTTGCATGAACTTTGCCAGAAGAGTGAGTTTTTTCGGGGGAGCTGAATACTGGCAAGTGTCCCCGGCTATTGCCTATCCTGATGGGCAACCTCCGCCTGCGCCGCCCATAAAATTTTGTAATATACTCGGCTCGGGGTGGACGTGAGCCCCGTAGGATTTATGGGGTACACGCTTAGCGGGCCGCCGCAGGAGCCGTACAGGCAGCTAGTTCATCAACGTGTTGAGCTGTGCGTGGCGCGTAAAAGTTGGCTCGTAAAGTTTCGCAAGGATCATTCGGGTTTTATTAAAAAATAAACTATACAAATTTGACACAGATTATTTATACATAAGTACGCAGCAAAGTGAGGGAGGGCGCATGAATATGCAAACGGGAAGTGGAATTGCGGATGTGGGATAGATGAGCATAAACATAAACATGCGGCATTGTGGAAATTTGAACGTCCCTGCGGCGGATTCCCATAATGTGCAGGGGCTTCCACTAATGGCATACATGTGTAGGCTCCCGACTCCACCGTCCACTGGCCACCGAAATTCGAATTGGCAGCGGCGTTATCCTTTCATGCCGAGGGACTTTTTGCCCAAATTGAATTGTGGTGTTTCACTGTAACTTGTGTGTTTCAAGGGATAATTCCAGTTGTGGGTGGAAAATCATTGAATATGTTGGGAGACTGACACTTACATGCAGCGGAAGAGCTACAATTCCATGAAAAGTAATTAAAGGTCACTTCAAATTCCAAAAAACCCAATTATAAAGTATGAATATGACTGGGGGGATGAGTGACAGATCTTGGAACTACTGAGGGCAAGTTTCTTAAATTAAATGAAACACTCAGATGTAAAATGGTTTCTTCTTAATTGTAAAAGTCTAAGGCTAAGGATTTTCTTTTTTATTCCAATATTCTTAAAAATACATTTAACATTTCTGAAGAATCGTTCTCTTAGTTTAAATTGTGGCAACCACATAAAGAGTTAAATTATATTATTTACAAATTTAATGTTTACCCTGTTTTTGGCTGTTTATACACTCAAGTGGGACAATAAATTTTGTGTAACTTAGGGGAGAGTAGATAAAACAAAACGTTAAACTGACATTTGGTTTTAATTAACCTTACAAAGTTGCCCAGCAATTGAGAGGAACTCATTTGTTGTATTGCTGACTTAATTTGCAAGTTAATAAATGCAAAATGGACAATTTAATTGAAATTGAATTTACTTTTTGCAACTTTGTTCAACTAGTTTGGGAATTAATTCATTTATTGATATTGATCTTTACTTTAAACACTTTAGTTAAAGGTTATGAAGGAATACACAGATTTTAATTATCAAAAACTAGCTGATTTATTTAGTATATTAAAAACATAACACAGTTTTAGTGTTACTTGCCTTAAAATTCAGGCCTTTTTGACCAGGAGTTACCCCCATTGGTGGGCAACCATTTTGTACGATCTAAGTCTAATCCTACGCTACGCCTAAGCACACCCATTGTGTTTGAAGACTTAACTCTCGATTAGCATTAACTAAGCACAAGTTGCACGCCCCGGTGATCAGATCATCGACGCCTTCACTCGGTTCCCGCTGGCCAGGATCCCCCTCACATCTCTCACTCTTGGCTAGCAGTCGCCTCTTACTGCACTGGAAGCTCTTGGAGTTCTAGCTGCCGTCGCACCAGCTCCCTGCTCAGGCAATGGCAGCAGGAGCAGGCATCGGTGTCCACCTTCACCATATCCGCTGCGTCCGCTGCATCCGCCGCTGCATCCATTGTTGCCGCCATCGCCAGCTGCTCTCACACGCTTGACACCCGCTCGTTGTTGTCCAACAGCCCGGCATGGGCCACGCCCACGCCCACTCCTCCCCGATGGCTGTCGTAGCTGAGGACCAGTGTTGAGGGCTGGTTCTGCAGCAGGAGCCGCTGTTGCTGCTGGTTCTCCTGCTCTCTCAGGCAGCTGGGATGCCGGGCCAGAAGGGCGGAGCCCTTACGCATCAGCTGCGGCGTGGGACCACTGCTGCCGCCTGGAAGAGAGACTGAGCCGCCGGATGGACCCGTGCCTGGACCCACATGCAGAAGGCCAACTTGCTCCTTGAAGGCAGTGCCTCCTACTGCGCCTCCGCCGGTGCCGTTGCTAGAGCTGCGGTAGTAGCTCTGCTGGCGAAAGGCACGCATTTGCCGGGAACTGCCCCCGGTTCCGTCCACCTGCGTCACCGCCGTTAGCATTGAGGGAGTGCGTTGCGAATCGCCCCTAGGAGACGGGAACGGGGTAGGGAACGAGATTTTTGGGGGAGACCGGGACGTGGAATGGAGGATGAAGGTGGGCGAAAAAAATAACCAGAAAAAGAATATAATATCAGTTGCGTATTGCCAATTAGTTTTGTATAATTTTAGTAGTTTTAAAATAATAAACAGATCAGTTCAAACATAAAATCTTATCAATTTGGGATGTATTCTTTAATTCTCAAGGGGTTTCAAAATAATACTTTAAAGGCCTGAAAGTATATAATAAATACATTTACACTGGTAGTTTGGGGTGAGTAATTACGTTGATTTGTTGCAATTATACGAATATAATTATAAATAGTTTTTGAACGTAAGTAATTATACTTTCTAAAAGTGAGTATAATTGCTTATAAATACTTTAAAGTTAATTTAAAATGAATACTTTTGAATTTTATAAAAGGGAGCCCCAAATAAAGGTTAACTTTGCTTAAGAATGTGTCATTTAAAGTACGATTACTCTTAAGAAAAAATAATATTATGTTTTTTTAAATGACTGTTTTAATTACTCTTTTATGATTTCTGTTAAATATATGTTTTCTTTCTTATACAGAATATATTATATTATATTAAGACACCTTTTCTTACAGAAATGAATGAACAACAACTTAACCATTGAAATTACAGCTTTTGTATTTTAAAACTCTTTTGATGATTCCTTTTAAGAACTCCACTTTATTACCATGTTTTGCCACTCACCTGTTTAGGCTGTAGGCGTTGTTGTTGCCGCCACCGCCGCCGGATTTGCCGCCCTTGCCAGGACACAGGTGGAAGGCGCCGTAGATGAGCGGGTTGACCAGGCTGTTGGACATACCAAAGAAGAAGATGGCATCCTGCAGATCGTCGCCCAGCTGCAAGCAATGCGGAAAATTCAAATTAATTTCCCCATTCAGACCCTTTTGTGGTGCTTGTTTATGTTTGAGTGAGCACATTGTGGGCGTTTTGCGGCTGACCCGTGTCCTTGTTGCCAAAGGATACCCTCGGCCTAAAGGTGTTTTCCTTGGTCCGGGATTAAATAAATCCTTTTGTGCACTTTGGGCATCCAAGTTTTTTGACCAGGATTACCCGCAGTCGGAAGTAAACTTTATACAAAATGCATTATTGTGTAAACAATATATATAAATATATTCATTACTGCACTTTGTGTTCTAAAATGCAATCCCAACATGGAATACCAGCAGGTGTAAACATATGAATATGATTGTTTACTTGCAATATTAAAATTTTTTTAAGCATGCAAAATTAAAGATATAGAACAATCTGCCTGAAGAAGTCATTAATATTAATTTAAATCTAACTATTAATTTGTTTAAGCAATATTTAGCAATACCCCAACAAGCCATAAAATGCAAACAATTTATAAATCAGAAAATACTTTAACTGAAAAGCCATTCCCGTTAGGCTTTACAGGATATTTGAGCTGCGGTTAACCGAGCTCCTGCTTGTGGTAATTCCTGCTCGCGTGGGAGGCACCTTAAGATGCCACCTCCTACACAGGAGCCAGATTTTACGGGCAATCTCTGGCAAGTCATCAAAGTTGGGACGCCGTGTCCGCTGGCGCCGTTAAGAAAGAAGGAAAAATTACGAAAGGCCGGTCGGGTGCCGTAACGATTAATTAAAAATTGAGCATAAGAAATCATTTTTATGTGCGCCGGAGTCGTTTGGAAAGCGTGGAAAAGATTGTGGCCCTAAACGGATTTGCCATCTGCGACTAAGCCGGGTGCTTCTATTCCCGTTCTCGCCTCGCACAGAACAGAAGAGCAGAGACAGGAGTGCCACAGGCCGTAAATATTGGACGGAACAACAAAGGCTTCTCTTTTGACACCACCGCAACCCGATCCCGATCCGTTGGAATAAACTGACAAATCGACTGCTGATTGATGTGCCTTCGCATATAGGCGATACCAGGAATCGCTTTTTGCTTGTCATTCACTACGCCGGAAATTTCTGGCCCGAAATACGGAACGAAACCCTTGAAAACCAACTCTTGCTCACACCCACGCCAGAGACTCACCCTTTTGTCGGGATTGAGGAACATGAACATAATCATCATGACGTAGTAGGGCGTCCAGCAGATGAGGAACGCTATGATGATCACCACCGAGATGCGTAGCGACTTCATCTTGGCCTTGTGTATCAGCCGCTGGCGGTTCGTTTGCGTGGGCAGCTTGGCCGTGGAGTAGTTGGCCAACTTTGATCCCTGGAACATCTTCTCGCTGCCTGTAGAAATGCGGGGGAGTGGTAATATATATGGTGGTTCCTCAGAAACGTATTATTATTTGAAACTCACTGGAAATGGTCCGAAAAGTGGACATGTAGGTGCCAAAGAGTATGCAAAGTGGCAGCAGAAAGGTGAAGACCAGCGTGAAGGTCGCGTACATCTGCTCCTGCCAGTCCGCCGTGTAGAATCCGTGGGTTACGCACTGGTAGAACTCCTCAACGAAGGGGCCACGTGCCACGTGAAAGATAAAGAACTTCAGGCGTCATTCGTCAACATCAAAGGAGGCAGCGTCGCGGCGAAGGAGAGAAACGAGTAAAAGGTCAGACGTAAATTGGGAATAGTTGCCAAAGATACATACATATGCTCCAACACAAATTAATATTCATTTAAGGAACTTGCAGAAATGTGTAAGGTACAATATAAGAAAAATAAATATTATTCTCAATTATTTTTACTTTTCTGGTAAGACGCTGAAATATTTAGCAGTTACGAACATCACTAAGGATTTGAATTTCTTTGAAAAGTTTAACTAAAAATATTTAATTAAATGTTTGATGTGCCAAATTCAATGTAAATAAATTGAATGATTTATAATTTAACATGAGTTTTGAACTCTTTTTAAAACATTAAAAAATAATATTTATTTATTTTATCACCAACACTTGTTGTTTTTCATTGACACCCTAAGATATTTTCACAAATACATGACACATTAGTCGTGTTCATTCACTTGAAATGTATTTAATCGTTTTGTACCTAGGTAACGTGAGTGAAGTACTCGAACGTTGTACCTAGGAAACAATTCACATCACTGGCTGCATCAAAGAGTACGGAAGTAAATACAGACATGTACGTATGGAAATCCACATGCGACCCGTAGTTACAAATTGCTGACACAAAACGACGCTTTGATCCTGCCACGCGGCTGGAAATGGCGGTGGAGTGGCAAAAGGACCTCAGTTATGACTGAGAAAGGCCTTTTTGGCCTGCGCCATTATCCATTGTCGACTCTGAATATGGCCGTAATTGAGGGAACGTTTTCGGGAACTGTGTATTCGGTTCACAGGAACCATATTTCTCCATTGTTGGAACATCCTGTGCGTTCAATTTACTAGAAAGTTGCTACTCTCTACCTGCCGATGCAGGACGTCCCCAAGGAATCCGCCCCAGGAGGGTTTCGGGGTCTGGCAGGCGCTGATAAAGCCGAACTGGCGACTCATAGACCCAAGGATGGATGTGTCAGCGCATAACTAATACGCTAAAAGTCTTTTTATTTGAGCTTTTTATGGCTTTCTTGTCAGCCGCTGTGTTGACACAGCTGACCCAAATGGAGAAAATGGTAGGGAGGGTGCAGAAAATGGGAAATGGGCTAACTTTCCACGCACAACTAAGCGACGTAGTAAAACTACGAGAAACTCTGAGAGCCAACGACGAGCGGATAATCATATAATGGTTGATTTTTATTAATTTCTCACACTTACAACTTCCAAAACAAGACAGGCCACCGCATAAAGCTTAAGATACTCTAATTTAAGGTATAGAACAATATGTATTCCTGACCCGAAACCAAGATAGAACACAGATGCTCGTGGCGTTTAATTAAACACTCGAAACTTTACCCAAAAACTTCATTTTCCCCCGCTCTGTTTGGACAATCTTCAACAAGGAGTCTTAAAAGCTGACAATTGTTTCAGCATTTGAGTCTAAAATAATTACCCACAAGCATTTTAGCAAGTTCCAAATTGTTTTCTTGGAAAAGTTGCACGTTGCACCCGAAAAAGTTTGCACAAAAGGCCTTGCGAAAATGATATAACAGGTGTACACTTTCCTGCTCCTGTAATGCATTTATTGCTAGGCCAAAAGTGCAAATGATGCCATTTCAGACTTAATTGGGATGCTGTTTAATTAAATTCGAATTCATGTGCAACTCTGAATGCTTATTTAAATCGAGTTGGGAAGAACTGAATTAACAATTCATGAATTATTTATGTAGCCAAATAAACTATTTATTTTCCTCGATCAGAAAGAAGTTTAAGCACAAATAGCATTATTTACCACAAAGTTATTGCAAACCCATCGATGTAAATATGGAATTTCTTTCACCTTTCGATTAATTTTTCATAAAATACATGTAAACCGGTCCCTATTCAACAGAAAAAGGCAATATATCCACCGCATGTCCCCAATTCCCATCAACTTTTAATTGACTCTGAGAAATTTGTAATTTCTCTCAACCGACAGTGGTAATTGAGTTACAATACAATCGCTCTCACACTCAACGTTCATAATAATACCTTGAATAGCCTTGACACTCTGCTACTCTGCCAGGACTAACTCTGACTCTATTATGTTGCCGAATTTCCATTGTGCCGCTTCGACTTCACGTCGTGGGTATTATTTGTTTCGCGGAAATGTTTGTGAGCCCTCACACTTTCAGTCCTTCTGGAAGGACTCCTCTGCGTTTAAACGGGAGCCAAATAAATGCTGTTCAAAACATTTGTTGTTTATTGGCAGCAGAAGTAAATTTTCATTTTGCTTTTTTATTTGAAACCAACGAGCTCAGCGGCGCGTCTCATATTGGATTCGATGTGGCTGCTAACCAACATGTGCTGGGTGCTGTTCGGACGGAAGCGAGGACGAGGACGTGTGACAGCAGAAAAGTTGTCCGGAAAATTGTTTCGGATGATTCTGGCCGCTCTGGCACTGGCTTTGACTCTGGCCCTGTGGTGGCCGTCACGTCTGTAAGCCGCATAAATTTTATGTCGCATGTTCAATAAAAGGAAACGAAATGAAGAAAGTTTCCCCGGAACGCAGCCAACTCGGGGTGGCGAAAAGTGGACCATAAAAATTGGCATAATGATTGCAAAGTTCCTATTAATTGGGTGACAGTGGCCCTTTAATTATGTAGCAATATCGTTGGACATTCTAAAAATGGAATGGAATTCCGCCCGCAATATCATAATAGCTGTTGTGCGGGGCAAATAAAATATTTAGGATTAGCGTGACAGTTGGCAAAGTCTTTCTGGGCCTATTTTAAAATGCAAGCCAATACATTATGTCCATTTTATTATTATTATTGTTTTCTGAAAGTGTCTGAGGACTGGGGACTGAACTTCGAGCATCTAGAAGTCAGCGTCGGTGACCTAAACCCACTTCAAAATCTGCCAAAATAATGGGGCGGGCGTGTGGAGGAACAGAAACATAAAAATGTAATTAGACTTAACATTTTTCGTGGCATTTAAACAAGTCAGACACTTTGACAAGCTGGCACGCACACGCTCCCGAAGCCACCTACACTCACACCTAATCTCGTCCGGGAATTATTATTTCATGCAATATATTGCTCTGATAAAGAAAAACACGGCTCGCGTAAATTTGCGGCAATGTGGTTAATTCTCCTAATTAAATGCGTTAATTTATAGCACACCTTTGGGAGCGAAGCCAGAGGGATTAACCAAAAGTGCCAGAGAGTTGCATAAGTCAGGTGAGAAAAACCAAGGAAAACTTTCCATTCAACAGGCAATCAGCCCTTCTTTTTACACCTTTGCCGCCAGGGCTTAGCTCTTGTCTGTTTCGGGATCTCTAAGGTAGGAACTGGAGAGGCAGAAGGTCAAGCCTTTGTGCCTACTTCCTTTTATGGTAAGGCAAAACAAGATTTTCCTGAATACTGTACATTGAATCCTGAATCCTGATGCCGAGCCTGGTCACAAAGAGAGCAGAGTTTATGGCCTCTTGGGACAGGCACTTCACACTTTTCAATCAAACTAAATTAGTTGCCGGCTCCATGGCAACTTTTAAGTGGTATTCTGCTAATTAGCCACCTTCGAAGCAGAACTCGAGGTCCTCGAAGCAACAGTCGGCACGGCACCCGAGTTAATCTGATGAATGGAGGGGCCACCAGGACACCTCGCCCTTGGCCATAAATCAAGGCCAACGGATCGAGTGTGTAATCGGGGACACGCGGCATACATTATACAATAAATGTGCCGGAAAGCTGCAGCCGATTCCTAGAACAAAGCGTAGGGATTCCCATTAATGTAGTCCCATTCGGCCTTATCCGCCGAGTCGAGCGAATATATCACTCAGCCTATCTGCACACAATGAATCGCGGGGAATATGAATGTCTGTCGTCAGGCAGACGCACACTTCCCGACAGAACCTTTTTCTGTTTTTGTGTCTGTTTCTATTTTTTTTCTGGGACCCCCCGAAAAAAACCCATTGTTGGCCGGAATTCGATTGGCTATCCTAACCCAATCCCAATTCAAATCCCGATCCTGAAACATCCCATCCACCGGGGGCGGACACGTGTGCGTGGGCGTGGCAGCGGCCTAAAGCCACATTTAGTGCACACTTATTGTGCGAGCGGCAATCATTTTAAATGTCAGCACACACATTCTTTCGCTTTTTTCCGCTCAAGACTATTTACGCCCGGCCACGGGGCGTATACGTGTTATAAAGTAAACATATTACTTCAACTTCATCAGTACCCCGAGTGGCTGGCTGGAGTTTTTCCTTTTCTTTTCGGTCCTCCTTGCCGGCTGAGCCCCGGATTTAACTTAGCGTAATGGGACGCCCTCAGTAAGTGACTGCAAGTGGGCCAGATTATTTTCACAGGCCTGCCCTGTGCCATCCTCCGACACTTGGCTCAAAACTTCTTTGACGCGGAATGCCTTCGTGCCTCGGTTGTTTCTTGGAAGAAACCCAGCGTCAGACGCTTTAATGCTGCCCCGAAGGCAACTCGTTTTACAGGGGCAAAAAATTCACTTAAAATAGAGACTAGACATAAATAAAGCGACTTAAGAGCTGGCAAAGGGGGCATAGATGTCAGGAATAGATGTTTTTTATGTCAAACATGCCAGGACTTTTTGCCTTACAAGAAAATTCTTATGGATGTTATAAATAATTAATTTTAGTTCGAGGCAATTCTTTTCCATATTCAAAATCAATGCTTCTGCTTAAAGAAAATTCTACTGCATATTTTAAATCAAAAGTTACAGTTACTAAATTAAATACAAATGAAAAGAATGAAAAATAAATAAAATAAAAGACATATACCATATATGAGAAGGAGTTATTCTTTAATATATTTTTTCCCACCTCGACAGCATTATCCTCTTACCTGTGGCAAGCTGAGCACCAGCGACAGAATGTAGGTGCCACCGAGCAGCCGGTGACACCTCTTGGCCATGTTGAGAGACTTCATTGGGTACTTGACCGCTATCCATCGATCCACGCCAATTAGAACCAGGACGTAAGTGCTGAGATAAAGGCTGAACATTTGAAAAAGCTTCACCAGCTTGCAGGTGAGCTCGTTGGCCAGCCACTGGACCGTGTAGCACCAGGCGGCCTCGCCGATTATGCAGAACCAAGTGACCAGCACATCGGCGATGGACAGGTGAAACATCAGTGAATAGATGGCGCTCCAGGTGTGCCGCGAGTTCCGCCGCGAGATGCGGGTCTTGTAAATGTTCCAAATGGTCAGCAGGTTGCCCAGCAGCGAGAACAGCGCCATCACAGCCAGGACATAGACCTTCATTAATCCGGAACGTGAAAGCTGGGGAGCGTGGTCCATCACATGCTCCGGCACCTGTTCCGCCATTGGCGGCGCTTCATGCCGGCTGTTGGTGTGCGCCAGCGAGGAGCTGTTGGCGATCGCATAGGCGGGCAGAGGCGTGGTGGCCACGCTCAGGTTGGACACATCCGTGGCTAGGCCCACGCCCAAGTCCAGCATGTTGAGTGTAAAATTGGCTATTTCGGGAGCGGCGGCGGCCACGAGGCGGGTGAAGTTGCCCATGGCCGACCAGTTGCCCAAGGCCACCTCATTGTCAGCCTCCACATCCATCGAGGAGTTCGGCACAGAGGGCAGGCGGTCGAAGGCGGGCGACAACGTGTCATCGAAGGCCCACTCGGCCTCCATTTTGAGTAGTTTCTCTTGTCAATTGGCGGATTCACTCAGTTTGGACGGTTCCGTTCAAGTGAATTTCGCTTACATCTTGATGTAAACCCTTAGGCGAATGACCTCAGGTGCATTTTACCTTGGGTATCCTTGCATCAGGCGTCAACATAATATTTGGTTGAGATTAAACTGCAAGTAAAGTGGAAGACAAATCTAATTAATGAACTGTCAAGTTTCTCTCAAATTTATTTCATTTAAAAGTATACCGATTTCCTGGAGAATAATTAATTATTTTCCTGGAAATCGTTGTAATTTGAATTAATTGTTTAAGCTAAGTAAATTCAATCATTGAGAGCTTAAAGTGTAGTGTAATTTAATGCCTAACAAAACATTCTATTTATACGGTTTTAGTCAGAAGCGTTTTGATGTTGATTAAAAGAGATTGAAATAAGAGATTCCCTAAGTTGCCCTTGGGCGGTGATAAGCCATTCAACCTTATCGGCACATGCCAAAGGACTTTAAGTCCTATAAAAAGTTCAAAAGAAGCCCCAGATTCCTACAGATTCCCCCAGAATCTTCTTGGAATTCAGGTAAAGCTTTTTACACATTCTATTTAAAATTCGAGTAGACATCAGAATGCCTCGCTCAGCGGCAATTAAATTAAGATTTAAATGTGCTTCAGTCAGTTCATACCCATTATTTCCCTACAATGTTGGCCTTAAGTGAAGCCCATTTTCAATTAATTTGTTTCGTCGTAAAATGATTTGCTTGCCGCGAAGCCAAAGTCTTTCCCTCAGCTGTCTTGTTTATTTTATTGGTTTGCAGGAAAATAATTTAGCCCGGGGCCGGGACAAAGTCGAATATATTGATTGCTTAGGTGCAATTCAATATATACATATATACTAGCCAGACAACCGACTAGAATGGGTACTGGAATTCAGCAGGTATCTCCGGTGAGGTGAATCCTTTTAAAAATCCATTTGTAGAGAATACTCATTTGACACAAGAGCGTTCTCTGTGTGTATACAGCTTAAAAATTTTATTGTTTAATTTGAATGCTGACCGAGCATAAAGGCCATTTACCACTTTAAATTGCCATTGACATTAAAACGCTTTTACCTGTGCCGACAGCCCGCAATTGTGCATTGGCCCGAAAGGCTCTCTTGTCAAGGCTTAAATAAAACTGTAGCTACATTAAATTATTTTTATTCGGAATGAAATTTAACTCTTCAAAGACGCTCAAGATCATTAGGAGGGGAAGCACCTTGGATATTGCAGTAGCTCAGGTGACCAATTCTAGTTGATTGGCTCTGGATTGCCTCACAATAATGACAGCACTCGGAGCAGTAACAATTCCATAATAAATGCAGTTGACCCGAGCACTTGCAATTACCCGGCTGCAATTATCCGCAGCCCTCGAAGGCGCCCCAGAATACGAGTACGAGTGCGAGTACGAGTACAAGTACTTGGGGTTTTACGATTAAGTTTGAATAGATAGACGGGTGCGAGTGCCTTCGCCTTAGGAAGTCGACTTTGCCCATGCCGGCAGTGCCTGTTTTGTGTGTGCACTGTGGTGGGTTCAAAGTGAAATTCCATAAAATTTCATTTTCCAAATTAATTTATGAACATAAATTAAATTGGACGCTTGGTTTGGCTCATTTTTTATTGCGTTCTCCCGCCAATAAACCCAATTCAAGGGGCTTCGAGTGAGCGGAACTCGTGTCCGGCAGCATTTTTGAAAGCCTCCCATTTCTACTCAATTGCTGCAGATCAATTGCCGGCAATCGGGCCCATTAATTTGAACCTGCTCGTATCTAAGCATATAGATATTTACAATATCTACTGGCTTTCATTGCTAATTGTCTGTGTGCAAACCAGATTAATGGCTCCTGACCTGCTCGGCACGGTGTCACTAAAGCAATTTGTATCTGATTGCCTCGGCCCGCATATGTATCTCAATGTGAACTTTCCATCGCGCGCTTTTAATCAACGCGATTAATACACAAATGCGCATTTGATTGATCAGCAAGCAGTCGGGGCTCGGTGTGGCTGGGGTCCCAAAAAGTGCTGAAAATCACATCTGTGCCATGTACCCGGGATCTGAATATTAATCCATGGAGCGACGACAGATGAGCAGCTGGAGGCGAAAACTTTTTTAGGCTTTGATTGATTTGCATTCCTGCAGTAAAAGCCATGCAAAAAACACACACATGCTGAAGTATAATCCCTGTCCAAACCGTCTAGAGTCTAGACAATGCCATAATTGATACCTTTTCGCATATCGGTATCCAAAGAGAGCACAGTTTTTGCTTCAATGAGTTATTCCAGTGGTTGAATTTAATTGATGCAAGACAACAAATTTACCATCATCAAGGTTTTTATCTTTTGTGCAAATGGAGCCTTTTTCAGTTGCTGCATCAACTGCATATTGCTTTATTCAAAAGGAAAGTAAATAAAAAAATATCAAATATATTTGCAATTTCTCCGACATTGTTTGCAGCATCCAATTAAAAAAATCTGAGAAATGCAGCTTTATTCGCTTTTAGCCAACACGGCGTATACGTAACGCTGCTGACATCTACAGACAATAAAACGCGGTTGATCTCGATATTATTTCTCCTTTTGTGTCATTCACTTGAAACTCACTACTCTTTTGATTATTGTCCAAAGTTTCTCGGTACAAGCAAAGTTTTCTGCAAATGGACGGCATTTTAGTCGACTTGCTTTTACAGTTCATCTTTTTCAGCGTTGTTTTTTCGCCAAACTTTGCCCATTCACATAGATTGGATTAATTCCTGAAGCAGTTTTCCGTTATTCTTACGGGGCTACTTTGTAATTACTTGGCGAGTCCATAAACTGCCCAGAAACCATAGCGTTGGATCCATTCTTCTCTCGGCAAGTCCTAAGGAAAATTCCTTCATGAAGGCACAGTGTCCCAAAAAGTTTTCACGCACACACTACTTTTGCCAGTTGTTGGCGGAATATTTGCATTCAGCTTGGCTAATACTCGAGTTCGAGTTTGAGTTTCTGTTTGTATTCACATATTTCACATTTATTTAGACACTTTTCGGGCTTTTGTCTAAGCAGAAGCTGAAGCCGAAGCTGCGGTGTTTGCACAGTTGGGCCGCTTCTTTAAATATGGGGGAAATACACGGGGCGCAGGAGCACTGTACAGTGAACTCCACTGGCTGACTGCTTGTGTTGTTAGCTTAAATATCAACATGTCATTAATTTTTTGGCAGCTGCACCCCCGAACCCTGTCAGAATTCTGGCGTATCTGGAGTATCCGCATACTTCATTATGTATCTGGATCTGTATCTGAATGCGCGATGTTTGCACAATCCGCTGTTTGCTTAACATCACACAGCTTTCATGAGCTCTTGAGCACTTGATGCCATTTTGATTATTGCCCTGGGTTCACCGCATAGATACACCACGAACACACCAACACCCTCGAAGCTTAATTTATGCGTTTTGATCTGATTAAAAATTATTTAATTTTATTGCAATTTTTATAGACCCTCACAATCTATATTTGTCGACTTATTCCACTTGATTTGGCCAAATAAATTGATTTGGTCGATTTTAATTCTGTTTTTATGCAAATAAATTATTTTTAATTAAGTGTAATGTTGTGGCTGCCAGCTCCACTTAATTATAATGAAAGCCAGACTCTTCGAAGAGTGAAAAACTTTTACCCTCTTAAAGCCATTATTTTAATTAGTTGACTCTTGAATTCTTGTATGCTTGAGTTAATTAATTTAAAATTAAATGTACACCCTTTGCTTTACAAAACTTGCCTTTTTAATTTTGAAAGAATTTTTCGTTGCTTATTTGAGACGATGATTTAGGGTTAATATTTTTCACAAAATAAATGCACACTCAGATTTTTGTAGTAAATTGCAGGATAATATTTAAGACAGTTCACTTTGTATGAACCAAATTCCAAAAAATTGGACTTCGATTGAAGAAATTCCTTAAACTTTCACTTTGATTCTGCAAATACTTTACATTTGCTACACTTTGGCTTTAATTTGCCCTTTGCCACTCACTTAGAAGCTTCACTTTGCCCCGTTTAGCAAACGTCAATCTCTGTTTTTCACTGCGAGCTTCATTCGCGAACTGGGAAATTCGATTTTCCGCGTTTTTCAACCGTTGCGGCACCTCGAGTTCTAGCAACTGATTTCAAAAATCCAACGCGGCGAAGTCAAATCATCGCGCCAACCGCTTGAACAGGTTGCATTCAGCCTCGAACATGTTGCCACCGGATTCATTCATAAAAGCGTTTCCTACGCCCAGCCACCTGATGGAGCGACCCTCGCTGGCACAACCCGCAACTTGTTGGCGTCCCCGTCAAGGGCAATGCTCTGCAGACATAACTCATACGCAGCGTGGGCCCTTGTGAAACAGTGGAAACTATGGCCGGGCTTTGACATTAACTAGTTTAATTCAGTGTAGGAAAATAAATATATATAAATAAAATAAAATTAAATATGCTCACAGATATAAGTATCAGAAAAATATGCTCATATTTTTAGCTTAAGGAGTAATTATTTCTTATCTTTAACAATTTAACAAATATTTTTCTTTTTATTTATTTATAGTATAAAAGTAAGATAAGATAAGGTATACCAAGTATCCCAGATTAAGATGTAGATTATGATTTTGTGGGCTAGAGTAAATTGTTAATCTGCTTGTAAATATTTTAAAAGAAGGGTTTTACCTTTAGTAATTTTCAATCATTTCTTCCACTGTACCTTCGTTTTATCCTTCATAACCATAAAGTTAAGGCTGCCTCCGGTCGTATTTCTTGCGGTGCTAACAAGTTGCTCCTGCAATAGTTGCGACTGGCGTGTCTAAATTTACTAAGGAATGTTTATCTTTCTTTAATGGAGCGCAAAGCCAACGAAGAACGGCAATCGTATTTGGCCAAAGTATTTATTTAGTCTAATTAGCTAATTTGCACACATGCACAATTGGGTAATTAAAGTGCGCATGGCTATACCCTTTTCAGCGAATAACAAAGCATTATGGCGAGCTCGCGGCACATTCCACATTTAGGAGAGGTTTTTGGCGCCGCGTCCTTAATTGAGTTTCCCCAAAATAAACAAGTACATTTCACCAGCAACTCCAAGCTTTTTTGTAGAGGCCAAAAGGAATTCCAGAAAAAGAAGAGTTTGAGCCC